CATTGACTTCTATTGTCATTTATTACATAGATCTATCGGAAAGTACTTCGAAATTTTTGATTACCTATTAAAATTTTGCTAAGTAATTATATATAAAAATATATCAAACATTTCCAAGTACCGTTTTTTTAAATAAAATAAAAATATAATTTATATTACTACTATATATTTATATTAAATATATATTTTTACACTAAAAATTTTTATATTTTTTGTTAAAATTAACAAATTCGGTTTTCTTGTCAATCGACGTTAGCGAAATGCATTCTCTTAATCATTTCATTTCCGTTTATTCAAACATTCCTCTTTGTTCAAACATTCTGGACGCGCTACGCCATGTTCGCCGCGCGTCTTCGGCATCAACTCTCATTGATCTTCAGACGCGTTTGCGCGCGTCGACCATCAAGCGGCCGTACAACAATTGTATGCGCCACGGCCAATGAGGGGTCGCGATTTTCTGGTTGCGTTGAGGTCTCGTGGACGCCCGCTGTCGCCGGTGTCGCGTCCCATCGTTGTTTTCTTTCATAAATTCTTCTCCCTAGTCCGGTACGAGCGCCGTTCATGGTAGACATTGTTATCCGTTATCGTCGTCATCAGCATCGTCGTTGTCGTCTTTGTTGACGCCGCCACTATCGCTACTGTTGCTGTCATCTTCACTGTCGTCGTTGCTAGCGAGATTACCAGAGAAGTTCAACGTTACGATCCCGACCATCGACGCTTATCATCACCGCAGCAACAGCGGTGAAAGCAGTCCTTACCCTCTCTCTTTTTCTCTCTCTTTCTCCCTTCCTTTCCTCCCCTTCTCATCCCTCCCTTCTCTTTTTCGCCACTATGATTCCTTACTCCACGTGTTTGTCTTTTGGGGGCCATCGTGACACCCGCCACTGGGTAATCATGTATGACGAAATCAATTCCTACTCGGTGAGTCGTTTAAATATCATGCAGCACAAGCACCCAAAAATACCTATTTATCGCAGATACCTATTTTACATTCATATTTAAAGATATTATCTAAACCTGCTCGAAAATGTCATATGTATATATATGTTTATATTTTCGGTTTTTTACGAATAACTCAACTTGGAGAAATCGAATGTCATTAAATTGCTGTCACGTACTTATATGTTTATACATGAAATATTAAAAAAAAGGTTTAAGATTTAGAGAAAGTTAACACTTGTTATATTGGGCAAAAAATTAAAAAAAAAACTAACAAAGAAAAGAGGCTTGTAAATAACTTCTATCCATTTTGATGAATTTTGGAGATGTTATAGCTATATAAGTCAAAATAAAGGATAATTGTGCGTTAAATTTTTCAAAAATGTTATATTTGTTTGAATATTTACTATTTTTGAAAATTTTGAAGTTTTTGTAATGAATTGTAAAGCTTATATTCAAAGAAAGATCGCCGCGATATCATCTTATCCTAGTCATAAGACTAAATATCCAACACAAATTTGTTTCTTCTTGAAATATGTTATTAAGCATCAAAAGCTAAGCGTCATAAGACAGTGTCTCGCGCTAAATTCACTCATAAGAAAATTAGCGTAGAATGGCAGCGAGATATAATTAATATAATTAACTGTACGTATTTACACGAGATGAGTGATTTTAACATTTTTATATTTCAGCAATGGCTAAACCAGTTCAGTTTTAACTAGTCTCAATTGATAGTCTCAATAGTTGTAAATTACATAAGAAAAGTATTTTTAATTTTACTTCGTGAACAGAGATGTAATGCTAACAATAAGTTTAAATATGTAAATTTTTTAAAATGTCATCAAATAAATTTTCATGATTTTTCTTTTCCTAACATCAGGAAACAATATCAGGTACTAACAGTGCTCATAGTATCCGTTTTTGACAGATTTCTTTGATTTTGATATATCATTCGAATAAGGACCCGGGCACACAAAAAACTTAAGGCAATAAGGAAATCAACATGTTGGATTCACTACTGCTAATGGCTACGTTTACACCGTGCGTTTAGGCCGCGGCCTAAATGCACGGTGTAAACGTAGCCAGTGACACCTATCGTATAGGTCGCGGACTAAGCGCAAGGTGTAAACGTAGTCTATGGCTACGTTTAGACCGTGCGCTTAGTCCGCGACCTATACGATAGATGTCTTTGTTTAACCTACAGGATAAACAAGGACATCTATCGTATAGGCCGCGGCCTAAATGCACGGTGTAAACGTAGCCAGTGACACCTATCGTATAGGTCGCGGACTAAGCGCAAGGTGTAAACGTAGTCTATGGCTACGTTTAGACCGTGCGCTTAGTCCGCGACCTATACGATAGATGTCTTTGTTTAACCTACAGGATAAACAAGGACATCTATCGTATAGGCCGCGGCCTAAATGCACGGTGTAAACGTAGCCAGTGACACCTATCGTATAGGTCGCGGACTAAGCGCAAGGTGTAAACGTAGTCTATGGCTACGTTTAGACCGTGCGCTTAGTCCGCGACCTATACGATAGATGTCTTTGTTTAACCTACAGGATAAACAAGGACATCTATCGTATAGGCCGCGGCCTAAATGCACGGTGTAAACGTAGCCAGTGACACCTATCGTATAGGTCGCGGACTAAGCGCAAGGTGTAAACGTAGTCTATGGCTACGTTTAGACCGTGCGCTTAGTCCGCGACCTATACGATAGATGTCAATGGCTACGTTTATACCGTGCATTTAGGCCGCGGCCTAAACGCACGGTGTAAACGTAGCCAATAGTTGCATTTGTTCGAGTTCCACAGTAAACAATATCGACGTCTTCACGTTTTTTCAGACTAATAAATCTGTTCGCGAATTGTTTGCACTTTTTGCACTCAGCATCTTCGCTTTCTCTCTTTTCAACGCCAGAATATATATCTCATTTTAAATGCAAAAATTTTTTCAGAATTTCAAGCAACGCGAACAAAGGTCTCTTTTCTGTGGATGAACTAGTATACACTTTTGAAACTTAAAATGAGATAGATGTATATTTGGTATTTGGTGAAAGCGAGAAAGAGAGTTCTAACGCAGTCTAGTGCAGGAATACAAAACAGATCTGTAAAAATATCTGGTGTTGCATTTCACCGGCTTCTGATTTTTATTCGATTCCGCTGTGTTTCACAAATCGCACACAGTGAGCATCACGGAATTTCCATACTTCTTTCCATTATCACTTTATGACATTTCGCATTAATATTTCATCAATCATATCATTCAAATATAAAAAAAAAAATGCGAAATAGTTTCCGTTCCACCGTGAATTCGGAATAACGATAAATGTCTATCTTTCTGATGACCAACTCGCATGCCACGTGTTTTATGTTACACTCGTTGCACTTCGTCTGTCAAGCACTACGTGTTCACTGGACTGATAACCTGTTATGATGTATCGGTTAGAAGAACGAATTGATAGAATGAAAACGAAAATTGAAAAACGAACGACTTGTTGAGAATTAACGAAGACGCGGGCTTGTTTTCTTAATTCGCCTCACGCGTTTGCTATTGGTGCTCGTCTGTGAGTATGCGCGAGGATCTTTAAATTCCGCCAAATTTAAGTGCGAGAATTATTTATAAAAATTATTAAGTGAACAATTGTCTAATTCGCAAATTGTTTAATTTGCAATATCTACTTTAAGAATTTATACTGACTATGAATATCAGTGATGAAGAAATTACTACAGTTGTATATCACAAGAGAAAAGATAGAAATATCTTCCAATCTCTTATATTTATAGAATACTTAGTGGAATTACATTAATTATGACATCACGGGAAAGAAACTTTTAGGTATTATGTATAGGCAACGAAATGTTTTCGGCTATGTTTATATGATTAAAGATTTAAAATAATCTCTGATCATAAATCATTAACTTTGCTTTTCCGTTTAATGCGATGAATATGAAATTTTATATAAAATAGAAGGTAAAATACTAACGCAGATACTCTTTCTAGAATATCACAAAAATCGATTCTACAAATTGAAGCTTTAAGTAGTAATCACGAAATCTTAATGTTATATAATAGATAATTTATTCTTATAACACATGTTAATATGACTCATGAAAAATAAATTATAATATAGGCATTGACCTTTTATCAATATAAAAGAAAGGACTAATAGTAAAAAAATTTTTTCTCCAAAAATTAAAATTACTTTATTTAAATCTTTGTGAAAAAGGATTATTAAATTTATGTAAATTGCAATTAGAAAAATAGAGCGCTGAAAAATAATCGCGTTCAGTAGGTAAAACAGATACGACTTCAGAGTCCTTCTAAAAAAGGATTCCATGACCTCTTTTGATTGATATTGATAAGTGAGAATGAATTAAAAATTAGTTTCCCAGTAAATAGTTTCTACTAGAGATCATATATAATTAATAATATGATCAAATAATTAGAGTATCAACTGAAAACACTGACAAAATGAATCTAGCATTCTTTCTTAAACTATGACATCACAATACTATATGAGTTGAAACAGATGAAAGAACCATGTAACCAGATAAGAACAGATGAAAGAAAGAGATAATATTATATTTTGAAAAAGGGCAAATTTTTCTAATCAATCGTTTTACGATCTAAACTTTCTTAAGCTGATTCAGAAACCCGTCGACAATGAATTAACTATACTCTCATATGAATCCACGTGCTATTTTTATAATGTGTATTTTTCATAATGTGTTCATAATTTGTATTGTGAACAAATATGATATCCTTGTTTAAACATTTCGTTGATTTCTCGAAAAGATTTGATTTAGACATTTATATTGTAATTTTCTATCTCCCGTCTCTCTCTCTCTCTTTTTCTTTATATATGTACAGGAATTGCAAAAGAAATGTAAATTATGTCACGACACTTTATTTCTAAATTTCTCAGAAAAATTTTCTGAAACACTGAAATCACAATTGAAATCTTTTTAAATGTCATTTATACTATTGTCGCTTTCGTGATTCCGCAAAATCTCATATAGACAGTCAGATAAATGTGTTGTCACCTGTCTTACAAAAACAAAAACGAGCATGTAAATTTGCTCCAGGAAAATGAGCTGTTGACAGGGTGCGCCTGTCTGTCTATCCATATGTAAATGCCGTGCGTACATCGCGCACATTTACCCTACGTCGTGTTTCACGAGAGTAGGGAGAGATCTGTTATTGATCCTTTCTCCTCGCGCGCTCCTCCAGTTCCCTCCCTTTCTACGCGGCAATGGCAGAACGTCGTTCACCAGCTTTTCGCGGCAAGAGCTCGCAGCGTAGTGAGAGCCTCTCGTTGGAAGCCTTTGTCGTATATTGACAACGTCGGGCGGCTGAGGGAGAGATCGCCGGGAAGTAACGTGGCTGCGCGGCGAACAGGGCCAAAGCACAGGATACGAAGATAGCCGAGCACGACCGAGGTCGCGAGCGTCGACCGAATGAGTCTCTCTCTCTCTCTCTCTTTTTTCTTTCTCTCTCTACTTGTCAGCGCTCGGGTCCAGTACTTCAGTACGTGCACAGCGGCCGGCCGGCGTGCATAGTTGTTGATAGTAGTGTTGTGTTCTTGGAATCGAGCGCTTTTTTCGCGCGAAATCGCTCTTCTGTCGTGCTTATTTTTCCCGATGTCCGTACGAAACGAGAGCTAAATTCGACGGATCAGACGACGTCGTCTTTGTGCTCCGAACGGCGCCGGGCCTCAGGGCCCGGTCGCTCTCGTTTCCACTTAGGTCGACTCCGGGAAGCATGCGATTATGGAGCTTGCAGGCTCCCGGGGACGAACCGGCTGCGATGTCTGCACGGGCGTTACCCTTCGACGGCAGTTTCCCTCGCGTAATTATCGTCGCGAGTCGCACGACGAAAGTCAGTACTTCCTCAAATCAACGAAGGTATATTCTCGAGAAAAGAGAGAGGAAGCAAGAGATAGAATACAAGACAAAGAGAGAGAAAGAAGGAAGCACACAAAGCATCATCGTGTCGAAGGGTCAAGCTGTGCCAAGATAGCATTACGAGACAAATTAAAAATCCTGGACAGAGAGCTTCAGCAAAAAAATCAAGAAAAATACTCATTTGATTGATTGTCATATGAGATCAATTGAGAAGAATTCCTAAATTCTTGGTTAGCACAGAGTATCCATAGACATCGTTCTTTGATAATTTGCAAATTGCGCTACAATCATGTTTATGCAGGGCGTAGTTATGGGTGGTATAGTGGGAGTTAATCGTGGACAGAGGAAGAAAGGAAAAGAGTATAAGAGGGAGATAGATAAATATAGTGAGAAGGAGGGGAGAAATAGGAGGGAAGGAAGGAAGGAGGAGAGAAAAGCGCGAGAACGGAGAGGGAAGAAAGAGGGGGAGGGAAAAGCGAGACGGAGAGAGAGAGAGAGAAGGAAGCAGACGAACTGTAGAAGTTTACTGTAATCGGTTTCTAACGACTTCGTGAAAGATATGTTTAGGAAATGATAGGACTCCAAGAATGCAACTCAAATGAATAGTGATGAAGACGAAACAATCCCCATCATGAAATAAATTCAAATCAATCTCAAATATAAAAAGACATGCCACGTTATATCACTTTATGCGCCAATCAGAATAGTATAAAGCTATGGAGTGTTTCATATACAGGATGATTCAAAATGAGTGTAATAAACTTCGACAGATTGTTTGGAAAGTCAGTCTCAATAAAAAATATCATATGAATATGAATGGATCTTATTCTCAATATTTACATATATAATTACAGAAATTTTAAATTTTACTGTTATCATAGTAAAATTACGTTTATTATAGAACTGAACTGTAAATAAATGATATTAGTAAATTCTCTTGTTTTGTTTTAATTTCTTAAAGATTATTTCCTACCAGTTACGTGATTTTATTACGAGAGTAAAATTTCAAAACTTATTATTACGTAAATATTGAGAGTAGGACTTATATTCATATATTTTTTACTCAGAGTGACCTCTCAAATAATCTGTCAGAATTTGTTGTGACAATATCAAATACTTGTTTTGAATCACTCTGTGATACATGTTTACAATACGTATTATAAATTTAATAATAATACCTATTAAATTTGAATAATCTTCTTTGAGGATGTTCGAATGTTTAGGAAATTACTTATGTACTACAGTACACTATACAGTACATTACATAATACACATTTGGTTGTATGCTATCACATGATACAGCCTCACAAATTTAATCCATAAGACACACATACACTATGTATACGATATCACGCATTTGTAACTCATAATTATTTATACGTGCGCGCGTATATATTTATGTATACATATATATATATAGAGAGAGAGAGAGAGACAGAGAGTGATGTATAATAAATTATAATGAAATATTATTAATAGTTACAAAAAATATATAGATAATTATAAATTATTTTGTCTTAATTTAAAAATAATAATTATGAGTTACGTATACGTAATATCTATTGTAAATATATTCAACTATATATATTATCAGTACATCAGATCGAATGAACAAAACAATAATTTCTCTTATGATTGTGATATTGTCTCTACATGGTTTTGTCGTCAATTCTTCATCCATTATTATGCTAAGTTCGAAATTCTATGCGACCCTACTATTTTTGATAAGATATGAATAACAAATAATCCCAATATTCTGTAATAAAGGAGAAATAAAAATATGGGATGAACAGTATTTTCTCTATGTTGCAACCGATTTTGATTTCGATAATGAAAATCTTCCTCATCTTACAAAATAGTAATTTCAAACATATAAAAGCGTTCTTTCAACAAATTATAAAAACTAATTTTCGCATTAAATGTCGAGTATTCTTTTTTTGTAGCATGGTACTCGCGTAATAACTGCAATCTTCATGATTGAGATATTAACGGTTATCTCTTTCGCTCTCTTCCTTTCTTTTCTCCTCCACTCTGTCTCGGTCTCTCTGCCTCTCTCGAAAATTACTAAAACTTGTGGAACTTTTTAGTCTGTGCCTATTAGAAGAGATGCATATAAAATTCTTAGGAACTTTTTTTATTGAATTATACGACATTGTTATAAGATATTGTTATTTTCGCAAAAGTAATATTTTTTGCACGTTCGTTTTATTAAAATTAAATACAGATTTTAATGTTTATTCTAATTTTGACATTTAATTTTTTTTATTAAATGTTTCCTCTGTTATAGTTTTCACATACAATTTATTATTTAATTTGTTACTAGTTAATTATTAGTTAATTATTATTAATCTTACTGCCTAATATTTGTTGCATTTTCCTTATTAAATATTTTTTACATTTTCACGTATTTTATTTGACGCAAAATAAACAAATTTATTTTTTTCTTATTTTCTCCTTTTGTGAGTAAACTGATTTATTTCTCAATTTTTTGTTATCATTTAATTAAATTGTTCAATTTAGATTTTATCATATCAACATCATATTAGACTATAATTTTTTCCTATTATTTTCATGAATATATCAATAGTATAGTGCATCTTGCACAGAGCACATAGCTATAGAGAAGCAATAGGTCACCTCTCATCGTATATTATTTCTAGTAAAGCAAGAGATGGGAATGATTGGTTACTATTTATTTCACTTTTCACACACGGCATGTATTGCTGTATGCAAAAGCTATCTTTCTCTTATGTCTGTATATTATTCTTAGATCTTACGTATATTAACTGCTAGTTATTACTTGCATAATTCCTTTTGTATTAGAGGCGTATTGGGATATAATAACCATTTTTTACTCGTGTTAAAAAAAAATAGAAATAGTTGAGAAAAAAATTATTATTTATTTAAGAGTATAACTATTATCATAACTTTTATCCTCTTGTGCATTAGATTTTCAGTGTCATTTTAAAAGATGACTTTGATGAAATATGTAGCAATGGCAATCTGAGAACAATTGCGTATATAAATATTTTTTTAACTTTAATTCAGTTTTATCTAAAAAACGATAGTCCAAAAGAACAATATAAAGATATAGCAGCTCTTATTTCAAATAAATAATTTTTTATTGTATTTGTTTCAATATAGAGTCTCGTATCACCATAGAGGATCAAATATTTTTGGTTAGAGAAAGCCGCGAATACTTTTTTTATAAAGTAGGTGTGAGTTAACCGAATTGAGTATAACAAGTATTTGTTATAATATGCTATAATTGCTAGTTTTTAACATTATTAGAAATATCAACATGTTTCTTGCTCCCTGAAAGGACTACGCGAATAAATTACTGTTAAAATAAAGAAGGCGATGAAAGACCAAGTATTTTCTCAGTATAAAGATTAATAATAATATTTGATGAAAAGTTAAAAAATTAGAATCCCATGTTTTACACAAAAAAAAATATATATATAAAATTAATCTAAAAAATAGACATAGTAAAAAATTACTGTTTGGTACTTCTAGTATTAAGATACATCATGTTATTGTATACAAAATAGCTTTAATTTCCGATTCCTCTAATATAACATTTTTAAAACTTACAATATTCTAAAAAAAGCTTTGGGCTCCAAGTGTGATATATTATACTCTACTCTTTTCTCTTTTTTATTTCTCGCTTCCTGTAGCATTCGCAATTTCTCGAGTTACTGTCCAACCTTCTATGATCTTTGCATCAACTGCACCGCGTAGATGACACGCGCTGCCAGCGTAGCGTTGTGTTAAGAGTGCGAATTTCTGTGGAGTAAAAAAAAATAGATGCAATAGGCCTTGACAAGTACGAGTTTGACGAGAATTGGTAGTATAAAAGTGTGCGTAGAAAAGCGTGCTTCGGAGGGGACGCAATGACGCGAGGAAGAAACATATGAGGAGGAGATGAAGAAAGGATTTGGCGAAGTAAAGTAGAAAAAGTGCGAGAGCAGCGGCAGATACGCGAAACTGGCGACCCAAG